CATGTCACCAACAGAGGAAAGCCAATGTGAGATGACTCAACTGGAGATAATGCAGAGTAGCAAGCAAGTTTGTTACCTTTACATCTAATGTTCTGTCATCTTCCTTGGAAGCCATGGGGAAAAAGAAGTCAAGAATTCCTACCATCACAATCTAATAATCAGCCATTACTTTTCTCAATCAGCAGTGAAAACTTGTTGCAGGAAACAAATTTGTGACGATAATCCATTATCAGAAAACTGACTCATGAATAAAGAAACCAAATGCTACTAGGATGAAAAACAGATATAGAATGTACTTCTTAATGCAAGGGATTAGGGAGGGAGAGAAAGCGAAAGACACAGAATTAGATTTAAAAGTAAAGTTACTGGACAAATTTTTTTGTTTCATGTGGAATAAATAATCAGGACAGGAATAGGGACTGATTTAGTTTCATTTTAAAATTTATGAGAAAACATTTTTATGTCTGCCAGTTTGAACTTCTTGTATTCTAAAAGTCATTTTTTAGTAGTTGCGAAAAATTGGTAGCGATATAACACTAATTTTAATTTTTAAATATTGGAGTAAGACAAGGGTAACTCAAAACCAAAAATGTAGATTTTAGTCAGTCTCAGAGAAACTGCATATCCTCAGGAAATGAGATTGCTTAAAATATTTTGCTTGCTTCCTCTCATTCTATTCTGAGGTCTGACTTCTTCCTTTGTTTTACCTGAAGGGAAGGGGTCCATCACATGGGATATGGAAAGGAAAGTGGGAGTACCTAGTGGTTCTCCCTGACACCATGGAGATGGCTTGGAGCCACTCTAAAAGCTGAGGAAATAATACAAGTGCAAGTGTAATCATTAAAATGACTGGATTTATAAATTTAAAGAAGTTAAAAATGGATTGATGCCATATAATATGTAGGCCCCTGTTAGCTTTTGAGAATCTGTTGGCTTAGGTAAAGAGAACTGTGATGTAGACATGGAATGTAACAGGCATTGCTTTCTTTTTCTGCACCTGTGGTTTAGGGTTACTAACACTTGTTTTTTTAACTGATAGGCAACTTACGCTAATAGCCTTTTTTTTTTCTTTTTCTTTTTCTAGTAGCAACTCTTGTCAACTTCTTACCACTTTTTAAGTGTCTGTTCCTTAAGTGTCCATTAGTCCATCAGTTCTTTAACTCTCAAATCAAATGAGACAAAATGAAGCCTTCTGCTTCATAGTGCTTATCCCTTGATAACATCTTAACCTAAGTCCCTCCAGTGTAAGAAAGTAAATTAGAACTAGATTGTTCAGCCCCTCCCATAACTAACTATAGAAAGGACTGTGCTCGAGCAACCCACCTTTGTTCATTGCCAGTGGTCTGCCATGGGAACCTTTATTTCATAATTTAAAGAATTGTATGATAGTCTTCTCTATACTGGCTAAGCATGTGCAATTAGGTGCTTATCATCGCATGTTGTTTTCTCCATGCTGAAATAGTAATGATTGGTGTTTTGTCAAATACAAAAAAAAACTTCAAATCTCAGTATTAACACAATATATTCAGAATTTTAATATATCCAACGAAATTATCAGTATGTTGAAATGATAAACTTCATGTTTATGTTCATTATGGCCTTAGTCATGATAGCTAAGATATGGAATCACCTAAGTGCTTAGAATCTTAACGAATGGATAAAGAAAATGTATATAATACTCCTTATATAAATACTCCTTAGCTTTAAAAAACAGCAAAAACAAAAAAATAATTTGAAACAGTGTGAAAGAACTGGAAGGCATTTTAAGTGAAATAAACAGGCACAAAGACATAATTACCACAAAAAACGTTGAGTTCACAGAAGTATAGAGGATAAATAGGAGTTGGAGACAGAGATAGGAGGGATTGAGATGATGATCAAAGGACATGAAATTTCAGTAGGAGGAGTAAGTTCAAGAGAGCAATTATACAATCTAGTAACTTTATTTAATAACACTATAATCTATTTTTGCCAGGTGTGAGGGTACACGCCTGTAATCCCAGAACCCTTTAGGCTAAGGCCAGATGATAGTAAGTTTGAGGCCAGCGTGGGTTAGATAGAAAGACTCTGTCTCAAAAAAAATAGAATTGTATTTTGAGAATTAAGAGAGTTGTTTATATGTAAAACAAGTTTTTTGTATATAAAAGTTATTTGTATGTTCTTTATATCTTGATAGTAAACCCTTGTCTGAGGAACAGTTGGCAAACATTTTCCCCTACATTGTGGTTGTCTCTTCACTCTGTTGGTGGTTTTCTTGCTGTACAAAAGGTTTTCAATAAGATGAGATCCCAGGGGCTGGGTAGATAGTTCAGTAGAAAAAGCAAGGGCCTGAGTTCAATCCCTGGTTCTGAAAAAAAAAAAAATGAGATCCCAGTTTTTGATTCTTTGTGACAGTTCCTTTGTGATTGGGGTTTTAGTCATAAAGTCTTTGCTTACACCACTGTCCTCAAGAGTTTTACCTATTCTGACTTCCAGCAGATTTAATGTTTCTGTTAATATTTAGGTCTTTGAACCATTCTGAATTTAGTTTAGTGCATGGTAAAAGTTAGGGTCCAGTTTTGATCTTCAACATGTACAGAGCCAGTTTTCCCAACACCAGTTATTAAAGAAACTACCTTTCTTCCAGTGAATGTGTTTGATAACTTTGTCAAAGCTAAGGTGGCTGACCCCGCCCCCTGGTGGGCTGAGCTGGCCACTCACACACACACACACACACACACACACATAAATAAAATTAAAAAAAAAAAAAAAGATAAGGTGGCTGAGTACATCTGGAGTTGTTTTTGTATCTTCTAATCTGTTCTGTTGATCTTTGGGTCTTTTTCTTTTTTGCCAGTACCATGCTGTTTTTTTTTTTTTTTTTAAATGTAGTACAGGGTCTACAGGATCTCTCTACATAATAGGACTGTTTTTAGCCTTCCAAGTGCTGGGATTACAGGTGTGTGCCACATGCATAGTCTCAGTCTCTGTCTCAGCACACTGTGGGGGTGAGGCCAGCACAGCATTCTGGGGATCGAGCCCTTATCCCTGTGTCTGCCTAAGTAGGTGCTTTAATCTGCTGAGCTACCTGGCCGGCCCTACCATGCTGGTTTTTATTTATTTGTTTATTTTAGGGAAGGGTCTACAGAGTGTTCAGGGTCTCACTACTAGATTGGACTCATAGTGATTTGCCTGTTAACAGCCTCCCAAGCCCTGGGAGGCGCTTACCACTACACCCAATCTCAGTTGCTGTCTCAGCGCATCCTGGGAGCAAGACTGACATGACTTGTTGTTTTTATCACAGTAGCTTTATAGTATAATTTCAAGTCAGGGATTGCAATGCCTCCAGAATTGCCTTTACTATTCTAGTTCTCCAAATGAATGTTAGGGATGTTTCCTCTAATTCTGTGAGACATGCTGTTGGAATTATTATCAGAATTGTATTAAATCTGTATAACAGTTTTAGAAAGCATGGCCATTTTCACTATATTGGTTCTTTCTACCCAAAAACAAGGGATAGCTTTCCATTTTCTGATATCCTATTCAATCTCTTTTCAGAATACTGTAGTTTTTAGTGTACAGGTCTTTTACATCTTTCCTTAGATTGATTCCTAGGTATTTCCAGTTTTTTTTCTCTAATTTCATTCATTGAGTTTGTTATTTGTGTACAGGAAGACTATTGATTTTTGAGTGTTGACTTTGAATCCAGCTACTCTTCTAAATTTGCTTATTAAATCTAGCAGTTTTTAGTGGGGTTTTTGAGGTCTTCTATATAAAGTACCACATCATCTTCAAATAATAATTTAACTTCTTCCTTTCCTGTCATTATTCATTTTTTTTCTTTTGTTTAATTGCTCTGGCTAAAGCTTCCAGGACTATACTGAACAAGAGTGGAGACAGTGGGCACCCTTGTCTTGTTCCTGATTTTAGAAATAAATCAAACTTCCCAAATTTAAAGACCTAATCCAAAACTGACAACTTAGATAAATACATACTTCTCAGATGAAGAAATACAAACAGTAAATAAATATAAGAAAAAAATGTTTAACATCATTGGTCATTTGAGAGATACAAATTAAAACAACACAGAATCCATCTCACCCACAGAAAGAATGGCTATTATCAAGAAATCAGCCAATAACAAATGCTGAAAGGACTGTGGAGAAAAGGAATCCTCCACTATTGGGAGTGTAGACTGTTGCAACCACTGTGGAAATCAGTGTGAAAAGTCCTCAAAAAAATAGGACTGAAAGTCCCATTCACCCAGCTATTCCCAGAAGAATCAAAAATATCCATACCACAGTGATGTATGTGCATCCATGTTTATAGCAGCACAATTTGTAGTAGCTTCTTGTTAGAAACAGCCGAAATACCCATCAACCAAGGGATGGATTAAAAAGATGTAGTCTTTTTATACAGTGTAGTACTACTCAGCTATAATGAGGAATAAACCAGAGCCTTTTGTAGGCAAATGGATGCAACTTGAGACCATAGTCATAAGTGAAATAAACCAGATGCACATGTGTAAGCCTTGTATTTTCTGTCTAGTGTGAGAAGCTGAAAAAGTAATTAAGATACAAAATGTACAGTAGGTATTATAAGATAGGAAGAAACTTCAAAAGGAAAGAGAAACTGGAAAGGAAAGGAAAGAAAAGATGAGAAAAAAATATATCATAGTTAATAAGATAGTTATACTAGTAATTTCTTAGGTCATTGAAAAGAATGATTTGTGCTAATATGGTTTGGACAATTAAATGCTGATATCGTGAATATACAATGTATTAACCATTGTTGCCCTATTAATCTTGTTTTGAAATTTTTTTTTCTGTTCAAAATAAAGACTTAAAAGAGGTTTTAAGTATTCTTACAAAAGTAAATATGTGAGGCATTGCATAATTAATTTGACTGAGGCATTCCAGAGTGTCATGAATATCGTCAAAACATGTTGTACACAATACTATTTTTCAATTAAAAAAACACAAATCTGACTAGTGGCAATATAACATCTATTTTTCTCCTAGGGAAAAGTTAACCATTGGATGCCGCCAGTTGGTTGAGATGGAATATGCCATGCAGCAGTGTAGTGCATCTGTCTACATGGGGGCCCAAAACCCTGGGGGATCAATGGTGTGAAGACATGTTCAACTGTAAGACCTAAGTGGTGTAAGCAGAGGAATTGCTTTCATCTTTGTAATGTTTTAGAGGCATTTGTCTTCATAAATGACAGAGTAACTTTTGACCTGGTCACTTAAAGCCAAACCCAACAAAAGTTTAAGAAGTAATTCCCAGGTACAAAAAAGTGATTGTTACCGACAATCTCATTTAAGTTATAAAAAACCTGACATGTATTGTGGAATATACTGTGCACTGTTTTCCTGGGGTTGATAGTACCTTTGTACCTTTATACCTTTATTCCTTTGTCCTGATTCTAAGCCAGTATCTTTTGAGGAAAACAGAGCCATCCTTCTAGTCCACCTAGGGTGGGAGCCACAGTGGCAACTGAGGAAGGCCCAGGGTGTGGCATTAGCATTTTTCTTAGTCCTGAATATGGGCATGTGACTAGACAGACACTGCCAAACCTTAAGAATTGGGACCTGGCCACATGTTTACCACATTCCACAAAAAAATCTTGTCTGCACTTGATTTTTATGCTTTTATTTAATCTAGACCTTGTAGAAATAACACCACCATCCCCACTTTCCTCAGGGTAATGAAAGTAGAATTTGACTTCAGCTCCTACTTATAGAGCCTCTCCTCTCCTCTAAGCTTGTAACTTTTCAGTGCTTTCTAGAGGGGAGGAATAGGTGATCTGTATGCTGAGTGCCCTTAAATGTGAAGCAGCCTGGATTAGCTGGCAGTGACTGATGTTAGCCCCTAACTAAAGATAAAAGTGTTTAATTGACCTCTTACTCAGTTATACAGACGGTTGGGAGACTGAAGTGTATTAGGTTTTTGTTAACACTTAGATAAAATCAAATTTGGCTTTGTTATAAATGTTAATTTATTTTTTAAAAGAGCAATAAATAACTTATTTTCAATAAGATGTTGCTTTTCGTTTTCCTTCCAGATAGTGTTTCTGAAATGCATATAAGGTATGATTATAAGTGATTGTCTCCAATAAAGAGAACTGATTTAGGATATTCTTTAGTAGTTGGTGTCAGAGCTAAGCCCTGTGTTTGCCAGATTAGGAAACTGTACCAGCTAGTGCGCGGCCCAGAGTGCTGCCAGGGATGGCACTGGGTGACTGGGAACTTCAGGAGAGCAGCTGTGCTCTTCCCTCCTTTTCCCCGAGGACCCAGCTTCTCCTAGTTGTTTTACTTTGTTCTGCCTTGTTACTTCCATCTTTTTTTTTTTTTTTTTTTTTTTTTTTTTTTTTTCATGTATTTTTTTATCTTTCATGAAATTCCCTTTTATTCCCCTATCACTTCTGTATTTTCATATACTTTCCTCTTACGCATATGGGTTTTAATCTTTTTTTTTTTTTGAGTGTGGTCTTTCATTTTATCTGTATTCCTTTTATTTTCCACATTAAGTCGTATCATTTTGTTGCAACTTATTTAATTTATTGATATGCAGTTCTTTCTTTTTTTAGCTTTTAAGTGTTTAATTTGCTTTAGAAACATTGTTCCAAAATGTTTAGTTTTTCTTTCATTCCAGGCCGCTCCCCTCTTTTGTTGTTTCCTTTGTTGATCTCACTTTATTAGTTTTATACTTGTTCTCCAACACAGGGATTGAAGTGTTCTTTTTTTCCACTTCCCACTCTGTTTCTTGCTTCCCATTCAGGATTGGAGTAACTCATTTGACTCAAGTATCATAAGGGCCCACTTCCAAGGACATACGTGATTTTTTTTTTTTTTTAAATAAAAGGATCATATCCTTCAAAATGGAACTTCAAACTTTTAAGATTTCCATTATTCAGTATGCATAGTTTATATGATTGGGACACAAGCTATAAGTGTGCTGTGAACCAGAAGAGATTGATTGATAGTCATACCCGAGGAGCAGCTTTGAACATAACACCCTTGACCATGTTCTAGTGAGGAGCTGGCACCCATGATGTTATTCCAGCAGCATCCAGGCATTGGTATTTGCTCCCATTTTATTAGCCCAAATCACTTCTACAAAAAAATAGGATTCCTATCAAAGTTCCCATGCATTACCTAGCTCTTGTTATATTCAAAGCCAAGGAAAAGTGGCTAAAGTCTCTTGTTCACTGAGTTCTTTTGATAGGACTTGCACTAGGAATTGTGACTACATAGGTTAATTTCAGATTCATTGTGGGTTTTTTCCTGTCCCATGAAAGATAGGTGACAAGATAGGTTTGAAATTCTGTTTCCTTGATATTTTGAACATTAAGAACAAAGTCTGGGGGCTGGTGATATGGCTCAGTGGTCTAAAGCACCTACTTAGAACAAGTCTAGCAAAGCACAGGAGGGACTGCGGTTCAATCCCCCAGCACCACATGCCAGCCAGCCCCGCCCCCTGGTGGGCTGAGCTGGCCACACACACACACACACACACACACA